CAAGCAGGGCAGGAACCTGGAGGCAGGAGCTGATGCAGAGGCCATGGAGGGTGCTGCTTACTGGCTGACTCCCAGTGGCTTGCTCATCTGCTTTCTGTCCAGCACCACCAGCCCACGGATTGCCCCACCCACAGTGGGCTGGGGCCTCGCCTATCAATCACGAATGAAGAAAATGTCTTACAGGCTTGTCTGCCTACAGCCCAATCTTATGAAGGTATTTTCTCAACTGAGGCCCCCTCCTCTCTGATGACTTCAGCTTGTGTCAAGGTGACTTAAACCAAGCCAGCACGGGGGTGGGTCTTACTATGTACCTCAGGCTGTATTAGTAGCACTCATTATATAGCCTAGAATTATGAGCCTCAAATGATCAACAATCCTCCTGCCTCAGCCTCCTAAGTGCTGGTATTATAGGTGTATTCCACAAGAAAAGAAACAACTGATTTTTATATATAACTTTACAACCAGCCATCTTGATGCATTTATTTATTAGTGCTAACATATTATCTGTAGATTTTCTTCCATACATATAAAAGCTTTATCTTCTGGGGAAAAGTGGGCCTTTTACTCACTTCCTTGCTTTGCGCACCAGTGTGGGTCCCCGCTCATGATTGGGTAGAGATGGCGTTACCAGCTATCTTTTCACCTCCACAGACGCTGCTTCTACAGACACAGGACCAGACCTGTCCTCCAGCTGGAAACAACTGGGGAACCAGTCATGTTCTGCGCAGAGACAGTTTTCAGACACGGGACAGCTCACGGCTTACAATGACACCTCCCCTCACAACCCCACGACGGAACTAGATTCAACACCTGCCCCTACCGCCATCTGGAAGAGTTGCCTGCTACAGTTCATGGAAGGGCCTCAGAACTCTTGGTCAGTCTGCAGGACGAAGGCCAGAGATGCCTGCAGAGGGTGCCTTAAAGAGTTTGAGGACCAACCAGTGCGTTCTTGTGAGGAGATACGAAAGCCAAGAAAGGAGACCAAAGGGAAAGTTACCAGCCTTACAAAGACAAAGTAAAACAAAGAACTGGGACCACTCTGTCTAATGAGCGAGCACTTAGAAAAAAAATCCATAATTTTCAGAGCACTGATTACAGAACCAAGAAGGCTCTTGACTCAGAAACAGTCTCTTCAGTGATGCTCTGCCCAGAGCAAAGAACGCTTGAAGGAAGACAAGGAATGATCAACTACTTCAAGCAACTTACATGCAGGAACAAAGCTTAAAACTAACAGGACAAGGTGGTGTAAACCTTTAATCCCAGCACTCGGGAGGCAGAGGCAGGTAGATCTCTGTGAGTTCGAGGCCAGCCTGGTCTACAGAGTGAGTTCCAAGAAAGGTGCCAAAGCTACACAGAGAAACCCTGTCTTGAAAAACAAAAACAAAACAAAACAAAAATCAAGCTCCAGTTGGAGGGATGGCTCAGTTGTTGTGGAGGACTGGGTATCCATTTCCATCACCTACATGGTGGCTCACAACCATCCACAATTCTAGCTCCAAGAGACATGCTGCTTCTGACCTCTGAGGGCACTGAATGCCCATGTGCACATACATACATTCGGGCACATACACACACATGTAAAATTTAATAAATATTAAAAAACATCAAGTGCCCTAAAGACAGAGGGTTTCTCTGTGTATTCCTGGCTGTCCTGGAACTCGCTCTGTAGACCAGGCTGGCCTCGAACTCACAGAGATATGCCTGCCTCTGCCTCCCCCAAGCTGGGAACCAAGGCATGTGCCACCATGCCTGGTTAACCTTTTTGGGGAGGGGTGCAGAAGACACTCAATCACTGAACCTTCATTCTAGCTCCATGAACTTTTTTAAAAATCACTTTATTCTCTCTCTCTCTCTCTCTCTCTCTCTCTCTCTCTCTCTCTCTCTCTCTCTCTCTCTCTCTCTCTCGTGTGTGTGTGTGTGTGTGTGTGTGTGTGTGTGTGTGTGTGTACAGCCATATAGAGTTGGTTCTCTCCTTTCACCTTTATGTAGATTCTGGAGCTCAAACTCAGATTGTTAGCCTTGGTGGCAAGCATCCTTGTCCACCGAACCATCTTTCTGGCTCCAAATGGACAAATTTTATGAAAGGTGAGTATGTGAAGCTTCCTTAAAAGAAACTAGGTAACTTGGATATTTTAAAAAATGTATTTTGTAATTAAAATCATAACAATTGTACACAATCTCAGGAAATTGAAAATTGAGGATTCACTGGTCAGTCTTTCTCTGGCTATGGCAAAATGCCCAGTAAAACCACTGAAAGGCTCATTTGGTGCTGTCTGAGGTTGTGTGAGCCCATGGCTGTGGGACTGCGATAAGGCAGGGCATTATGATAGGAGGGTAGGGACAGCAAAGCTGTTTGACTTATGGTGTCTAGAAAAGCAGTGAGGGGAAGGAAGGAAAAGAACCATCCAAGGACAAAACATGGTCCCCAAGGACCCTTCCCTTTTCCCTGGGTCCCATCTCTCAAGTTCCCACCATCTCCAACAGTCCATCAAGTCATGAGTCTATTAATGGTTTTATCTATCCATGGGTCTCTAGTGTCTTACAAAAACAATTCAGTGGGAGAGAAATCAGACACACATCGTGAGGGACAATCAGGCCTGTGCCTCATACAGAACATGAAAATAATCTAAAAATGAGAATTCTAAAGCTATCAGAATGCTAGAAACAAACACCATGAAGGTGTTTATACTTTGCAATAACAACCACGGACCTTCCTGTCTCTAGTTTTCCCTGCTCTAGGTTAAAATAAAAAACGTACTCAGCCCTTTCAGATTGGCTTCTTCCAGTTAGCATCAGGCATTTGTTGCTTCCGAGGGCTTTTGTATCTTAGTGACTCCTTTTCAGATGTGGGCCCTGTTACGTTAGCCAGGCTGGCCCCTGAAGTCCTGGGCTGGACTGACCTTTTCCAGGCAGGTGTAACAGAGCCTGGCTAGGCTTCCTTTTCTCAACACTCCCACTCTACTCTTCTGGTGGACTGCAGTCCACCAAAGGATGTCTTGGTTGCTTCCAAATTAGAGTGATGGTTAAAACTGCTGCATATGCTGGGTTACTGGGGAATGAACATCCTTTCCCAAGTGACTCTATCATTCTGTGTTTCTGCCAACAAAAATGCAAGTCCCTCCTGTTGCACTTTCTTGTCAGCAGCCACAGTGTGATGATTATTCTCGGTTGTCACTGTAACTACATCTGGAATTAATAAAACCCCCAAATTGGGGGGCATGCCTGTGAGGGATTTTTGCTTAATTTTAAGTGGGAAGATCCATTTCTACCAGGGATCTTTTGAAGTGGGAAGACCCACCTTTACCCTGGGCCGTGCCTTCTGCTGGAAGCCTACAGAAGGACATGGAAGAAGGAAGGTTTTGGTCTCTGCCTTCCTGCTCTCACTTCAAAAGCAAGTCCATTCGTTCACAGCATTAGAACCGACTTCTTGGGGATTCTGGCCTTTTCTGAAGACCAGCTGAGACATGCAGAGTGGTGGATGAAACAATTAGGGGATTCCTGGACCTTTCATTCATAGGCAGCCATTGTTGGATTAGCTGGACCACAGCCTGTAAGTCATTCTAATAAATATTATTCAGATTTATTAGAGGGAGCGGGGAGATTCATTCTATAATTTCTGTTTCTCTAGAGAACCCTGACTAATATAGACTTTGGTACCAGAAGTGGTTCTAGGGCAACAGAACTATAAAGATGAATTTTTTCAAGACAGGGTTTTTCTCTATAGCCTTGGCTATTCTGGATCTCACTCTGTAGACCAGGCTGTCCTCAAACTCACAGAGCTCCTCCTACCTCTGCCTCCTGAGTACATCACCACCACCCAGCAAAGATGATCTTTTAAGTATCTGGAATAGGCTTTTCAATTTGCCATCACCTATAGTTCCTATAGTCCCTCTAGTGACTGAAGCCTCTCCTGGAAGCTCAGAGTCCTGGAGGCTCATGATGTGAACTATTTTATGAACTTAAGGAGACAAATGCATTTGATTACTATTGTTGTGAGAGGCAACAGATCTGATGACTCTCCATCCACATCTTTTGACCATTTGTGGAAAAATAAGGAAAATTATGATGCTGGTTGGTTGCTCCTAGCATCTCTAGATAAATTGACAAAAAGAAAAGAATGAAAAAAAAAGAAAAAGAAAAGAATGAAGTTCATGATGAAATTAATCAACTTCTAGCATCTCAAAATATGGTGAATGACAACAATGAACCCAGTGATAAAACTGACAGGTTCCAGGTGTGCATAAACCAGGTTCTCAACCTGTGGGTTGAGACCCCTTGGTTTGCATGTCAGATATTTACATTAAGATTCATAACAGTAGCAAAATTACAGTTATGAAATAGTGATGAAGTAATTTTATGGTTGAGGGTTACTATAACATGAGGAACTAACTGTATTAAATGTCAGAGTATTAGGAAGATTGAAAACTACTGGCACAAACAGTCTTAAGATTTCTAAGTGTGCCCTGGAAGAGAATCTTCTCTCCAGCAGCCACAGAGATTAAGTTGTGGAAAATCAAACTGAAGTCCTCATTATAAGGTTGGCTGAATTACAACAAAAATTCAAGTCCCAGCCTCAGAGATTGTCAGCCATTAAAGTAAGGGCATTAATTGGTAAAGAATGTGGATCCTGTGCCTTGGGATGGGGATGTGTGTGTGTGTGTGGGGGGACTCTACTGAAGCTGAGAACTTTGAACCTTCAGATTCTCAAGGGTTTATCTCACTTAAGGAAGTAATTTTTCCACCCTCACTAGAAGATGTACTCACATCCCACCCCTTGAAATATTGCCCTTTTCACCTTTGACTGAGGCAATTAATCCTTAATTGTCTGTTAAATCATCAGTGACTTTCTCTGAATGAAATGCTGCTGTGGATATCGTTCTATATAAATAAAACACTGATTGGCCAGTGGCCAGGCAGGAAGTATAGGCGGGACAAGGAGAGAGGAGAATTCTGGGAAGTAGAAGGCTAAGAGGAAGGAAGACACTGCCAACTGCCGCCATGACAAGCAGCATGTGAAGACGCTGGTAAGCCATGAGCCATGTGGCAAAGTATAGATTTATAGAAATGGATTAATATAAGATATAAGAACAGTTAGCAAGAAGCCTGCCATGGCCATACAGTTTGTAAGCAATATAAGTCTCTGTGTTTAATTGGTTGGGTCTGAGTGGCTGTGAGACTGGCGAGTGACAGAGATTTGTCCTGACTGTGGGCAAGGCAGGAAAAGTCTAGCTATAAAATGCTAAGCAAGGCAATGCTGATGTCCCTCAAGACCCACCAATAACCAGGTTTAAGGCAAAGCAGGCTCCTAGAGGGGAGGTAGAGAGTGTGGCCCATGAGGTGGTGTACTACACTACTAAAGAACTTTATGAGTTTTCTAATTTGTTCAAGCAGAAGTCTGGGGAATATGTGGGGGAAGGGATTTTAAGGGTGTGGATAGTGGTAGAAGGAACATAGAACTGGATCAGGCTAAATTTATTGACATGGGCCCTCTGAGTGGAGAGCCTAGGTTTAATATGGAAGCTCACACAGTTAAGAAAAAAAGGTGTCAGAAGTTTGTTTGAACGATCATCTGAAGCATTTGTCAGAAGATGGCCTAGTGAAAAGGAGTTGGGGATGCCTGATATTGCTATGTCCTTGTCATGAGTCTCCCAGAGACCATGAGGAGTCTGAATTCGTATGCAAAATCAAAGAGCCTTTATTGCAAGCTCAAGCTTGGGCTTCCTGTCCATTCTGATGCAGTGGTTGGATCAGGGAGAGTATTGAGCTCAGTTATGACAGAGTTTTTAAGGAGTAAAGGATGTGGGGGGTAGGGGAGTTCTGGATTCAGATGGGGGTTGAATTCCTGATTGGGCAGGAGTGAGGCAACAGAAGTTCTGTCAAACAGGGATTGGTGCTGGCGTTGCTGCAAGGAAATTGGCAACCTATAGACAAGTGATGTAAGCTATCCTTTATGTTTCTGATTGGTCCCCCGCAGGGCACAGTTTGTGGCTTTTCCTGGTTATGGTCATGGTGAGGCCTGGTCCCAGTAGTGTTAGTCTGCAGCCTGCCATGGCTGCACTAATGTTAAGTTAGGCCTCTTCAATAACCCTTGGCTTAGTGTTGAGGGGATTTTAAAGCTCAGGGAAATTGGAATGCTGGAATGGGTACGCTGTGTAAAACCACATCCTCCACATTGGGAAGGCCTGGAAGACACGCTCTTCATAAGATGCAAATGGCAAGAGGGGAACCCAGCGCATTGAAGAGCTCTGTTGTTGTCCTTTTCTTGTGCCACACCTTAGCGTTGCAGATGCTGCTGCTCAGTTGGATGAATTAAATGCAGTGGGTTTATTGGGTCGCTAGGAAACAGGGGCCAGGTGGCAGCAGTGAATCTCCAAAGGCAAAGTGACCATAGTTACTGTAACGGGCAGCACAGACAAACAGTGTCTGACCATAATGGGCCAAGCCGGAATGGTCATGACAGGCAAAGTGGACTTTATGGTGGCATGACTCATCTGGGCCTTTGGTACTGGCCAATCAGTCGTGGTGCTTCCAGGCATGAAATAGATAAGAAGCCTACAGATTTTTGTTTGATCTGTATAAGTGAAAAAATTCCCAAACGAAAGAAAGGTTACATTGGATCATGGCCAAGGGAGTCTTGGCCTGTGAACCAATTTCCAGACTGGAGCCAGTTTGCATATCCAGAACCCCTTGAATGGAAGGGATGCCCAAGAAAGTTCCCCTGAGGAAGGACCTTGATAAAATACCTAAACATTTTGCTGTTAGCCTTTCCCCAGTCCTTCCCTATAGGGACCTATGGACTTTTACAAGGGTGACAAGGGTAACTGTACATTGAAGGAAAGGAAACAATCAGACTTTCTGGGGCCTACTGGATACTGGTTCCGAACTGACGCTGATTTTGGGAGATCCCAAGAAACACTGTGGTCCTCCAGTTAAAGTAGGGGACTTTAGGGGGTCAGGTGATTAATGGAGTTTACTGAAGTCTGACTCACAGTAGGTCCAGTGGGTCCCTGGACTCATCCTGTGGTAATTTTCCCATTCCCAGAATGTATAATTGGGATAGATATACTTAGAGTTAGCAGAATTCTCACATTGGTTCCCTGACCTGTGGAGTGAGGGCTGTTATGGTTGGAAAGACTAAATGGAAGCCTTTAGCGTTGCCTCTGCCAAGGAAAATAGTGAATCAAAAACAGTATTGCATCCCTGGAGGAATTGCAGAAATTAGTGCCACCATCAAGGATTTGAAAGATGCAGGGGTGGTGATCCCCACTACATCTCCCTTTAACTCTCCTATCTGGCCAGTGCAGAGGATAGATGGATCGTGAAGAACAACAGTTAACTATCGACTCCTGTCTCCTCCCGACTTATATTCCTCTCTCCACCCAGCCATATCACTTCCTGCCTCCATCTCCCTAGGGCTGGGATCAAAGGTGTGTGCCACCACTGCCTGGCTTCTATGGCTAACTAGTGGCTTAGTTCTGCACTCTAATCTTCAGGCAAGCTTTGTTAGATCACAAATAAAATATCACCACACATTCCTCTCTTGGGTGTGTTACTCCAGCCCATATACCAAGTGACTCAGAAAGCTGCTAGCTTTGTGTGGGGCCTGGAACAGGAGAAGCCTCTTCAGCAGGTCCAGGCTGCTGTGCAGGCTGCTCTACCACTTGGACCATATGATCCAGCAGACCCGATGGTACTTGGGGTATCCGTGGCAGAGAGGGGTGCTGTTTGGAGCCTTTGGCAGGCCCCTATCGGTGAATCATAGAAGAGACCTTTGGCATTTTGGAAGAAAACTCTATCTTCATTGGCAAGCAACTATTCTCCCTTTGAAAGACAGCTCTTGGCCTGCTATTAGCCTTAGTGGGAACTGAACATTTCACAATGGGCCACCAAGTGACCACAGGACCTGAGCAACCCATCATGAGCTGGGTGTTATCTGACTCACCAAGTCATAGAGTAGGACGTGCCCAGCAGCAATCAGTTATGAAATGGAAGTGGTATAAACATGACTGGGCCCAAGCAGGTCCTAAAAGCACAAGCAAGTTACATGAAGAAGTTGGGCAAATGCCTCTGGTTTCTACTTCTGTTACAATGCCACCTGCTGCCAAGGGTGCACCTATAGCTTCATAAGGTGTTTCCTATGATCAGTTGACTGAGGAAAAGAAGATGAAGGCCTGATTACTGATGAATCTGCACATTATGCAGAAGTAGACAGCTGCAGCATTATAATCCCTTTCTGGGACAACCCTGGAAGACTCCAGTTAAAGGTAATCCTCACAGTGGGCAGAACTTCAAGCAGTACACATGGTCATACATTTTGTCTGGGAGGAGAAATAGCCAGATGTGTGATTGTTCACTGATTCATGGGTGGCAGCCAATGGATTGGCTGGATGGTCAGGGACTTGGAAAGAGCCTGATTGGAAAACTGGCGAGAAAGACATCTAAGGAAGAGTATGTGGATAGATCTCTCCAAATGGGCAAAGGATGTGAAGATATTTATGCCTGATGTAATGTTCATCAAGAGGTGAGGAGTTACATAATCAAGTAGATAGGGTGACCCATTCTGTGGATAGTCAGCCTCTTTCCCTATTGTCATTGCCCAATGGGCCCATGAACAAAGCAGCCATGGTGGCAGAAATGGGGGTTATTTCTGCCCATGCATGGGCTCAACAACATGGATTTCCACTCACCAAGGCTGACCTGGCTACAGCTGCTACTGAAAGCCAGATCTGCCAACATCAGATACCAACACTGAGCATCAGATATGACATCATTCCCCAGGGTGACCAGGTAGTGACCTGGTGACCAGTCGACTACATTGGACCACTTCCCCAATGGAAAGGACAAGATTTTGTTCTTGCTGGAGTCCATACTTATTCTGTTTATGGATTTGCCTTTCCTGCATATAATGCTTCTGCCCAAACCACCATCCATGAACTTGTAGACTGCCTGATCCACAGTCATGGTATTCCACACAGAATTGCTTCTGACTAAGGAACTCACTTCATAGCCAGAGAAGTAAGACAGTGGACCCATGACCATGGAATCCACTGGTCTCACCATGTTCCCCACCATCCTGAAGTGGCTGGCCTGACAAAAAGATGGAATGGCTTTTTGAAGAGACAGTTACAGTGCCAATTAGGTGACAGACCTGGAGGACTGGAACAGGTGTCGGGATCAAGTGTTGGGGTTCAGCCCCAAACTATCGAAGGGTTTCTTGAAAAGGGGGAGAGAGGAATTGAGGATAAATAGGAAGAAATATAGATGTAGATGGAGAGAAAAGATAGAGACACAGGATAGCTTCGGGAGGGCTCTGGGTCAATACCCAGCAGCCCTGAGTTTATACACAATGGGCTTTTTATACATCAGCAAGTGGAGGGGCAAAAGATCCACCCTTTCAAGGTTGAAACAAATGTACAACCCAGTGTAGACCCTTCAAAACACCTGGTAACCATGTCCCATGGCAAAGCATCTTGTGAAGTATAAGACACCTGGTAACCATGCCTTTGTACCCTATTACGCATCCTTGGAGAGCAACATAAACTCTGACTCTCTGACCTTGAGTCAAACCACAAGTTGGAATCTTTGGGGGCTCCCGCAGGCAGGGCTTTGAATCAGCATCCAATATATGGTATAGTTCAGAATCCATGGGGGTGGAAAGGGGAAATTAGATCCACTCATTATCACTGCTAGTGACCTCTAGAAAAAGTTTTACTTCCTGTTCCTGAGACCTTAAGTTCTGCTGGCCTAGAGGTTTTGGTTCTAGATGGGGGACTGCTTTTGTCAGGAGCCATAGCAAATATTCCATTGAACTGTAAGCTCAGACTTCTCCCTGGTCACTTTGGGCTTCTGATGCCCTTAAGTCAACAGGCTGAGAAAGGAATGATGGCATTGGGAGGGGTGATTGATCCTGATTACCATGGGGTGATTTGATTGCTTCTCCACGGAGGAGATAAGAAAGATTATGTCTGGAGTTTATGGCCTATAGAGAAGTGATTCTCAACCTGTGGGTCACGAGCCCATTGGAGATTGAATGACCTTTTCACAAGGGCCACCTAAGACCATCAGAAAACATAGATATTTACACTATGATTCATAACAGTAGCAAAATTATAGTTATGAAGTAGCAATGAAAGTAATTTTATGGTTTGGGGTCACCACACCATGAGGGACTGTATAAAAGGGTCTGTGTATTAGGAAGGTTGAGAAACACTGCTTTAGGGCATCTCTTGGTGCTACTATGTCCTATGATTTAAGTCAATGAGAAACCACAACAACCCAGTCCAGGCAGGGTGACAAAGGGCACAGACCCCTCAGGAGTGAAGGTGTGGGTCACTCCTCCAGGAAAAGAGCCAAGACCTGCTGATGTGCTTGCCAAGGATGGAGGAAATACAGAATAGGTAGTAGAGGAAGGTAGGGTAGTTCTAAATACCATCTAAGGCTGGATGACCAGTTGCAGAAATGAGGATTATAACTGATGTGAGTGTCTCTGTCATATTTTATTAAGAATGTGTTTGTACAGATATTTGTGTTTTCTTCCTTTGATTTCTGGTTTTTTTGTTTGTTTGTTTGTTTTGGGTTTGTTTTGTTTTGTTCGAGACAGGGTTTCTCTGTGTAGCCCTGGCTGTCCTGGAACTTACTCTGTAGGCCAGGCTGGCCTTGAACTCACAGAGATCTGCCTGCATCTGCCTTCCAAGTGCTGGGATTAAAGGTGTGTGCTACTATGCCCAGTTTTTGATTCTTTATCATGTGATGTAACATCAATTAAGAGAATATCAATGGTTATCATTTTTAGGTTTGAGATACTAAAAGAATGTCCTTCAAGGGATGTTGCCACCTATTCTAAATTTGTAATGTGTTTGCAGTTGTATAAGGGGTAGTTATATCATGCTAGGCATAATTATGGCCTGTTTATTGTTTTCATTTGGAAAGTAATCATGACATAAGGAGGTATGACTGTGTATCAAGTTGTCAAGGGGTGGACTTGTGATGGCTAGTCTATTTTTGATTGTAAGCTTGACTACATGTGGGATTAACTAAACCCCCCAAAATGAATGGACACACCTGTGAGGGGTTTTAAGTGGGAAGATCCACTTCTAATCCAGATCTTTCAGGTGGGAAGACACACCTTTTTATTGTTGTTGTTTGTTTTGCTTTGTTTTCAAGACAGGGTTTCTCTGTTTAACATCCCTGACTGTCTTGAAACTCACTTTGTATACCAGGTGGCCTCAGACTCACAGAGATCTGCTTGCCTCTGCCTCCTAAGGGCTGGGATTAAAGGCCTGTGTCATCACCACCTGTCTGGGAAGACACACCTTTAATCCAGATCTTTTCGGGTTTTTTTTTTTTTGTTTGTTTGTTTGTTTTCTTTTCTTTTCTTTTCTCTTTTTTAAAGATTTTATTTATTTATTATGTACACAGAAGAGGGTGCCAGATCTCATTACAGATGGTTGTGAGCCACCATGTGGGTGCTGGGAATTGAACTCAGGACCTCTGGAAGAGCAGTCAGTGCTCTTAACCGCTGAGCCATCTCTCCAGCCCTTGTTTTGTTTTTCAAGACAGGGTTTCTCTGTGTAGTTTTGATGCCTGTCCTGGATCTCGCTCTGTAGACCAGGCTGGCCTCGACCTCACAGAGATCCACCCGGCTCTGCCTTCTGAGGGCTGGGATTAAAGGCGTGTGCCACCACCACCTGGCTTAATCTAGATCTTTCGAGGTAGGAAAACCTACCACTAATCTGGGCCACATCTCCTGCCGGAATCCTAGAATAAGGACGTAGAGAAGGGAGCTTCACTCTGTCTGCTAGCTCTCACCTTGCTGCCTAGTCTATTTCTTCACTGGCACTAGAGCCTATTTCTTTGAGATACTGGCTTATGCTGAAGACCAGCTGAGACATCCAGCCTTGTGGACTGAACAACTGCCTGATTCTTGAAACTTCCATTTATAGCCAGCCATTGTAGGATTAGCTGGACCACAGCCTGCAAGTCATTCTGATAAAGTCCCTTTTTGGCTGGCGGTGGTGGCGCATGCCTTTAAACCCAGCACTGGGGGCGGGGGGTGGGGGGGCAGAGGCAGGTGGATCTTTATGAGTTCGAGGCCAGCCTGGTCTACAGAGAGAGAGATCCAGGAAAGGGGCAAAGCTACACAGAGAAACCCTGTCTCGGAAAAAAAAAAGTTCCCTTTTTGTATATAGAGAGACTAATTCTGTAGGTTCTGTTAGAGGACCCTGACTAATTTAAATACATTTAACACCGATGATTTCTGTCACTCAATTGTGTGTAGTAGTGTTTTGTTTTAATTTGTGATTCCCTAATGCTTATTTCTACCTGTTTATCATCTTTAGTGAGCTGACTTGTCAAGTCCTTTGTCTACTTTGTGTACTTTGAGCAATGGTCTTGTATCAGCTGTCTTTGGCAAACACTTTTCAAGTAAGTTCGTCTTCTTGTTCTTTTGATGATCTCTTTAATCTGTTAGTTTTCCTGTTTGCTTATTTTTTGTTCAGTTTTTATTTTTTTTTCCCTAGCATTACTGCGGATTGAATCAAGGGCCTCATGAAAGCTAGGCATGAGCTATACCACTGAGCTCCAGTTACAGCTCTTTTGTTTAGTGTTTTGCATACATGTTCGTGAAATACACTGGCCCTTTTTTTTTTTTTTTTTTTTTTGAGTATTGATGGCTGAGTTTAAGCTGGCTGAATAAAGCAAATTACAATTGTGTCCTTTCAATGCTCTTAAAAATCTTACATAAAGGGGGCTGGGGATTTATCTCAATGGTAGAGCGCTTGCCTAGCAAGCACAAGGCCCTGGGTTCGGTCCTCAGCTCCGGAAAAAAAAATCTTACATAAAATTGATGTGATTTCTCTTTCCAAATATTAGAAAGAATTCATGCCATCTTAGTCTAGAGTGTCCTTTGTGACAAGAGTTTAAAATATGGAGCTGGAGAAATGGCTCAGCAGTTAAGAGTACTGGCTGTTCTTCCAGTGGAGCCGGGTTCAATTCCCAGCACCCACATGACAGCTCACAACTGTCTCTAATTCCAAGATCTGACACCCTCACACAGACATATATGCAGACAAAACACCAGTGCACATAAAATAAAAATAAATAAATTATTTTTTAAAGTTTAAAATACATATTCCGTTCATTTAACAAATAGGACTGTTCAACATTTATCTTTTCCCCCCAAACTGTCTTTTAAGCATCTGGTCTCTTATGTCTAAACTGTCAAATACATTTTAATTAAGCTACAAAGAACACCCTCAGCACCATTTTAATACCTGTTGTTCCCTTTCTAACCTTGTGTTGGTAATTTGGATTTTTATTTTTTCTTTCTTAACAATCTGTACCTGAATCAATTACTTCCTTGGGAGTCACAGAAAGCGACAGCGTCTTGTCATTTCTTTTTCATGCATCTAGGACATACCATAAAGAACTTTCCATTTCTCTTGAGCCCCACCATGGATTCATGTACTTTTTAAAAAATAATTTTTATTTCTTTTTATTTCATGCCCATTGGTGTTTTGCCTGCATATATGTCTGTGTAAGTGTGTCAGATCCC